ATATATATATATATATATATATATATATATATATATCTATATCTATATCTATATATATATACATGTATAATATAAAAAAAGACTTCTATTATATATAATATATATAAATACAAAGTATTTATATAATTTTTAACCATAAGAGAGTATAGAAGAGAATAATTTTATACATTGTTATTATACATGTTTGTCTATAGTAGTTGCATAATATAGATTGTATCACTAATAAAAATATTCAGTGCAGTAATTAAGACTAAATAGCAAGTGATAAATTTAAAATGATTGTCCCTAATTTAAACATCTCTGAAAATGAAATTATTGCAGTTGTTTGTGTGTAACATTTTTATTTTAGCAAATAATACCAAAAAAGTTTCCTAATAGGTAATATTTGTGTGTACATTTAGCAGTTCTATATTTTCATACACTATTAAATATTCATGCCATTATCAAAAAACAAATATCTTTTGTTCAATGTAAGCAGTCACTCAACAGCTAATGCTAGATATTCTCTGACCTTCATATTTAATATAGATCATAGAAAAAAAAAAAAAAAAAAAAAAAAATATACATTCTTAGTATTTAAAAACTTTAACTTGTTAATAAATAAACGTTGCGCACAACCAACTACGGTATAACTCTCATGTGCTATTTCGTTTTGCATTAAAATGATCGTGATAGAAAACTTTCAATTGTCTACAGTCATATGTCTCTATTTTTGTACAAACGCAAAATTTTAAGTAAATATCACAAATTAATATCTTCTCATTAAATACACTTCAGAAATCACTAACTTACGATATTCGTCGTGATTATAATACTAGTTAAAGTTATATTATGCAATGTAATGACAAATATTACAATGATTCGTGCAGTTTCAACAAATGCCAAGAAATTATTAGAAATATTCATTGTAATATCATCCAACAGAAGAATTACGAGTATTCTTTGTTTACATGTTATTATAATGTAAATTATATGCTTTTTGTAACTATATGTGTAGTGCAGTTACAAAAAATAAAACTTTATTAAATTGATTTGCATGTGTGTGTAATTGTGTACATTATTCACAATATATATTACTTTTTACTTGATCAATTTTGATATTACCAAATATGGTAATATTATAGAGGTAAAATTATATTGTAAAATATTTTATTAAATTTTTTTACACGTTTCATAAATTCAGGAAATAGTTTCATTACCAAAATAAACACATTGTGTTGAAACAATTGTTCAACGAATTATTTCTTAATTTCAAAGAAAAATATTTTTTAATTTTGTAATATAATGAATTATTTTTTTATTTTGCGATATAAAAATGTAGAAATAGTAAAATATCTTAAGCTTTGTGATAAAACGGAACAATCATACTTTTATTAAAGTAGTCCAAATGTACAACCTTAAATTCTTGCTCTGAAATTCATCATGCTTTATCACCTACAATTATATTATACAGCGGCATCGAATCTAACTGTAATCAACGAAATATTCGCGATCGAAAACATAAAAATTCCTATATTAGAAAACGGGAAAGTTCTTATATTATCTATATATAATGAATTCTCCCCCCCCCCCACACACTGTCTCTCTCTCTCTTGTGCGAATTACTTAAACTTCAATTATAAAGAAAGTTCTTTACATTCTTTATGAAAATATTTTTAGCAGAGATACACACTATTCTATCGGGCAGTTTTCATTAAGAAAACATAAAATTCTCTTCACACCGTATGATTACCGTGCAAAAAGAGTAGTTTGTCAGTTAAATGGGGTGGTATCGCGGCTCGCCTCATGTCGTATAGGATCTGCACATCCGCTGGTATTCGTGTCGGTGGTGCACAGCAAGCGGGCACACAATGATATCTGCTCGCTAGTTTCCCTAGATTTGGACACTTCGCGGAAACTTTAGCCCACCACTGCAAGGGGCAGTAGTCAAGTGGAGCCGTCGTTTCCGAGTGATACTGGACTATCTCCAAATCCGCTTTCTTTTCCGCAGGCATTCCACCCGTCTGTGAAACGCAGTATGCTCCGAGTAAGATCCCAATTGTACCTGTAACGAAATATATTCGGTTTGAGTGACGACGTACTTCACATTACTCTTGGAGATGCGTCATTCTAATTACAGTCTAAGAATACCTGCTGATGATCTGCTTTTTTTAATCGGTAGCTCATGTTGGGCCCTTTCGGAACTGTTTTCTCCGGATTCTTCATTAATCAATTTCATGAGCATCTCCTTTATGGGGTTGGCAACCATCTTTTTATCCTCTTCCGTAGCGTACGGCAATTGTTTGAATCTATATACGCGCGAAAATAATAGTTTAAAATAAATTTTAAAAAGATATAAGTTTAAAGAGATCCTACAACGGGAGATCTACCTGGGATCCAAAGTAGTTGCGATTTGTAGAAGTAGCGAGACATCGTTATTCGAGTATCGCTCGTACAACATATTTGACAAGGATTCTTTGAATGACTTGGCAACCTCATTGTCCGTGTCCTTCACTTTGAGATGCGCGGACACGAGTTGCCAAAGCAATGGTTTTAATAACGATATCAGAGGCATTTTCTCCTCACTTAGCGTCATGATAGTAACTTTGAATGGTTCGAGAACATTAACGAGATCCTCCATGATTTTCCATTGTTCATTGGTGAGCTCGATTATTTCCTGATCTATACCTTCCATATTATCCAAGATAGATACAATTATGTTGCGACGCATCACCATTTGTTCTAGCATTGTGTATGTTGACATCCAAACAGAAGGGTAATCTATCAGCATTGTATTTTCCTCCAGCTGCTGGAAGCAAAACAAAATGAATAAACGAACAAAAATAATTAAATTATAAAATACTTGAATTATTTACTTATTCGTATATGCGTGTAATAATTTATATGCTAGATTATATACCAAATAAATATTATAGAATTGAATAAGTTTGGAGTTAATGTTATAAAATTAGTTAAGTTAAAAATTGTATAAGTAAAAGTTTAAAAGTTAAAATTAAATTAATTAATGCTTTTTGCACAATTAATTTTTCAATCATAGATACAATTTATGTGAAATAATCGAAAATCTTTCATAAGAAAATAACAATTGTTTAGTGCTCAGGATTTCATAAAAGAGAATAAAGCTCCAAAAGATGAAAATAACCCTGTTTGTATTATTTTTTTATTTCTTTTTCTATTTATAAACAGACCAAAATAACTTTAACATTTATGAATTATTTTAACTTGTATAAAAAGAAGTTATTAAGTTACATTTGATGCATTTTACTTTATTTAATTAGTTTAAAATTAACTAAACGTTATTAACTTTATAACTCAACTTTTAATTATTACCTAATTCTAATAGAAAATGAGTGTCCGACAATTCATCACGGAGCTACGGTGTACAGGTAAATTAAGTGAAACTGAATATGAAAGTCTTCTATCATTTTGCAATCTTTTTAAATTAATAACTCTAAATTTTATGTAGTTATCAAATTAATAATGAATGAAAACAAAATGATAGAAAACTTCTGTTAAGGTGACCAGATTTCTTAACTCCAAATTCAGGACATTTCATAAATGTGTAGAGCAGGGAAGCAGATTATCGAAAACAACATATATACGCAAACAACAACACACACACACACATATATACAGAGTGTCTCACTTTCCTCCAAGCATTTTGTGGGACGTAGAACAAGTTGAGGTGAACATAAAAGTCGTATACCGTTTTACGATATTCGCAATAATTATCGAGATATTAATTGTAGAAAACTTGTAAATAATCATGCAGAATATGGTAAATGAGTTATAGTAGCGACGACTGCCGTCGTGTACATATACTTTAGGTCAAATTGAACAAAAAAGTCCTCTACCATTTTCCAAATAATTATATAGATTTTTAATTATTTATTAAAGAAGATTATTGCACGCTTTTGCGTGATAATGCACTCATCTTCTTTAATTAATAATTAAAAATCTATGTGATTATTTGCAAAATGGTAGAGGACTTATTTGTTCAATTTGACTTAAAGTCTAAGTACACGACAGCAGTCGTCGCTATTATAACTCATTTACCATATCCTGCATGATCAATCACAAATTTTCTACAATATCTCGATAATTATTGCGAATATCGCAAAACGGTATAGGATTTTTATGTTCATCTCAACCTGTTCTACATTCCCACAAAATGCCCAGAGGAGTGTGAGACACCCTGTATACACACACACACACACACACACACACACACACACACATGAAACAATATCTTATTATCAGATACTCTATACAGTATATATTGATATATTTGTATAAGAGAGAATTGACACTTTAGCAGGAACAGAAAAGTAAAAAGTAATCTCGCGCTGGTAGTTAGATCAGTCGGCAATTTCTGCTTTTCTATCAACGCGAGTTCCGATTGGCTTCTTGTTTTTCTGCCAAAAATGTGAATTTTCAAGGATACCTCCGACAGTTGTTCCTGCATGGTCAACGTCGCGGACGCTCCTGGATGGCCTATGATCGTTCCAATGACTGCTCGACATTTGGCTAATATCGGAGCCACTTCGGAATCCTCGAAACAAGTCTGCGCGCACACCTGCAGAGAATACAACAGGCACGGCACAATAATCACATTGCGACTCTTCAGCGCGTTGAGCAGCTCTAGTCTCGAGGTGCTGACAACCACCGCCGTTACTCTCTCGATCTTGATCTGCCACTCGTACAACAGCATGTCTATGACATTACCCCACTGAGTCTCGTCCCAGTCCAATGGCGCGTGAATAGTACTCAAAACTTTGCACTCTAAGGCTGCCTCACCAGAGTTCTGGTAATAGATCGACACAGTAACGAAGCTCTCGTCAGAGTTCGACTTCCACTCCTCAATCGTGAGCCCTATGTCTGAGCTAATGCCTGACAACACTTCTATCACCGAGTCCCGGAAAGTATCGTATATCTTTGGTATGATCTCCTCCTCCAACTTATTTTTGCTAGGAATCTCACAGGGTGAGCGTAAGGTGGCTACCAATCTCTGGAAACCACGTCCTTCCACAACTTCTGGCAGCTGCAGGTCCATTATGATGAACTCTGCTATGGCATCCGACACAGTCTTCCCATCTATGCTGGACTGACTGGTGCCATTGTCCTCTGACATGAGAAACGCCACATTCTGATTGTTGCTGCTGGGTCCTTCTTTGATCATCATCCTCAGTGGCTGACCAATGGTGATGTCATCCTCTATATTGGACAAGCTTATATTGGGATCTGTGACAAACTGTATGTCACCGTCTATCTGAACCGTGCCATCCACATTGGTGGTGTAAATGTGCTGCGCTGGGCTGAGACCTTTCATCAGTCTCTTCTGCAGCCTGCGCTCCTTGGTCTCGGGGGTAAGCACCTGGCCCTGCTTGCGCGGTGGGTTCGACAGCTCTAGCTCCAGCAGCTCCTGAGCATGCTTGTTTTGCAGGTGCATACGCAGATTACTGGTGTTGCGATTATAGGCGATCTGGGTCTTGCACAGTATACATACGATCTTCACTTTGGTAAGGATGTCGCCGTCGTCAGTGGCTGGGAACCCGAAGAACTTCCAGTAAATGCTCCTCATCGACATCGGCACGACCAGTTTCTTGTAGGTAAACGTGTGCTTCTCCTCCATCATCTTCGCTAATACCAACTGCATATCCTTGCCATCCTCCAGGCCGCTCGTTTTCGTCGAGCTGTTTGTCGCCGACGACTGCTTGTTATTCTCCATATCGGAAGGAACAACCTGACACCCGCGTGTTCGTTTCCTCCTAATCTTCGTGGAATTCGTTCGACGCACCGTCCGTTTAACGCCACCGCGGCGTGTTAAGCTACCTCACATATTACATTGTGCGTATCTCGTCAATATGGTGGACTTTCGTTGCATAATTTTAATCACGATGCTGTGATGCTCAAGGAACATCATGCATCAACGGATCACGATTCCGTCCGCCGGCCGCCTTTCGCAGAATCAACAAATTTACCGCGTGCCGCACTCGCGCCGATATATCTATCTATCCTCTCGTACTCTCCCCGTCGATGAATTATTCCGTAGATATCGAAGTTCAATTTCTCGCGTCGAAGAGACCGATGCCTAAATCGGCTATATCGACCAATGCTCGCGCTCGCAACGATGCTATCGACTTTGCGCACCGTTCGTCCAAGGAATATCGTTATCCATGAACCTCGCCAGACCCGCAATCGATTCGACTGTTCGGCTCTTGCGCACAAAATTCCGATGATGCACTTCAATCGAAACAGAAGGCAGGAAGTGACGTATGCATTTGCTTGTCCTTTGTCGAGAAGTGCGACATCTCTCACTGATAAGACGGTGACGAATCGCGCAGCCAATCTGCTCGCCGCTTTTCCTCGAGAGCAACGCGTTTATTGGTTGTTCGAACGTCGTTTGGCTAGGTGTCGTTTGTTTTGCGTGGCACAAGGGAGCTTCTGTCAACGGAACTCGTGAGCATTTAAAGCGGGAAGCACACACTCTCGCATAAAAACATAATACACACGCATAAGGAAATGAACCAATCAGAGTCTTCATTTTTATTGCGCGATGAAGATGAAGGACTCTGATTGGTCAATTTTCTTATGCGTTGTGCATTGTACCTTCATGCAAGAGTGTGTGCTTCCCGCTTAAAGCTAGCGGCACACGATACTTCCCTAATAGCACGCATGTTCAAAAGACGTCCAGAAAACATTCAGAGGACATTTTATGTTCTATGGATATCCACTGGACGTTCCCTGAACATTGCGTGCTATTAGGGTTGTTTTCATGCCGAGTTGTATTCTCTTGAAAAATATTATACACGATGTTTCGAGAAAATTATAATATACGTAACATGAGCTATAGCTTTTCATATAAATATCGTATGCGATATTTTTCGAGAATGAGGCCCCTGATTTGCTTGCTGAATGGAAATACTCTATTCTGGGGCATTTCTGAAAATGGATGGAAATGTACCAATCAAAACAGAGTATTTCCATCCAGCATGAAGCAAAGCCGCTGGCTTTAGTCCCGATCTATATATAGATGTAGTAAGTTTTAAGAAATTGACCAATCATAGTCGAATTACAGAAGAATAAGTAATAGTGATTGGTTAATTTCTTACGGCTTAAAGCTTACTACACCTATTGTAGATCGGCACTTATATGGAAAATCATTATCATTTTTAGATAGGTTGATTGGTGTATTATTTGAAAACATTTGCAGCATCAGATGTTATTTAATTCAAAATTCTGTTCGTTTTCTGCACTAATAACAAGTGCAGTGTTGGAACCCAACAAGCTGGAATGTAACAAGTGTAACAAGTTGGAATGAGAGAAAATATACTTTCTTTCGCTCTAACTTATTGTTCAAATGTTCTTCGAAAACGAACAAACCTCAAGTTTTTATCCTGTCTGTCCCTTATGATTGTGCTACTGAAGGTTTGTGATATTATTGGCTGCGTTCGGTAGAGAAAGCTGCTTTGCAACTGTGTAAAATTCGTGAATCTGATTGGTACATGCTCTTGGATTTAACAAAAATTAAGAGCATACTCTAATCAGATTCACGAATTTTATAAAACAGTTGCAAAGCAACTTTCTCTGCTGAACGCAGCCATTAATTAGATCGATTAAAACCCACGCAGTCGAAAACTCTATAAAATAAAGTTCAGTCAGCGACATCTTTAGCATTTAGAAAACATGCGCTGCGACTCGTTCTTTATTCCACGTTGTCCATGATTGAGTCGCATGTCAGCTGATCTAACCTAACTTCATTGGTCTTCGATGGAGCGTTTGTGAGCGACAGCGATCGTCACAAGATCAATTTAGAAATGTGTATTCGGTAATAATACATATATATTTCTAATAATAAATGAAACTGCTATAGTTAAAAGTCGCGGCACGTCCGAGATCCATTCGCTCTTTCTTTCTTTGCTAGGCAATGTAGTACCGGCTTTCGAGATAAAGATATCAGCAGTGATCGGGGCTAAAGTTTCCGGCGAAAAAGAATGGCACGCACGGATTAGCTCGAAAAGAATGCTCCCGATACTGAGAAAGCTCGGGATACTGTCCCGTCTGATACTATGGCGACTCTCCGCTGTGTTCCTGGTGCAGACCGCTCATGTGCCAGACGAGTATTGGCAGTCCTTGGAGGTAGCTCATCGTGTGGCCTTCGGTTACGGACACCTGACCTGGGAATGGGCGGCGATGATCCGTAGTTACGCGTATCCGTTCGCGATATCGATCCTATATCGCGCACTCGCTGTGTTCTCCTTAGACTTCGCGTGGCTTCTGACCACATTGCCTCGGGTTTTTCAAGCAATTCTCGTTGCTTACGCGGATTACAGATTTTACCAGTGGACCAGGTGCAAGTGGATGCTGCTGGTCCTGTGTCTCAACTGGTACTGGTACTATTGCGCCACGAGAACCCTGATCAATACCGTCGAGACCGCCGGCACCACCATAGCTCTGACGATGTTCCCGTGGAAGGACAGTCGCGTGCAAAGTGCCAAGTTCCTATGGATCGTGGGCTTCCTCTGCATGGCGAGGCCTACCGCGGCGATCGTGTGGCTGCCTCTGTGCGCGTATCACATCTGCACGGGCGAGAGAGTCGCGTTGCTCGGTCGATACGCGGTGATTGGCGCCAGCTGCTTCGCGATCTCCGTGCTGATAGATAGCGTCTGCTACGGCACTCTCGTCATCACCCCGTTGAAATTCTTCCAAGTAAACGTGCTCGGGAGCGTCGGCGACGTGTACGGCAAGCAGCACGCGTTGTGGTACATCTTCATCGGGCTGCCGGTGTTGCTCGGGCCGTATTACATTCCGTTTCTCTTCGCCGCCTGGCGGATACTCCGACATCCCGTTCGTTTCCAGCGGGAAACGGTCATGCTCGCGGTCATCGGTTGGACGTTGACGGTTTACTCGTTACTGTCCCACAAGGAATTCCGCTTCATCCTGCCGCTTCTACCAATGTTTATCTGCGCGAGCTCGGCCAGCACGTATCACTTGAAAATCAGGATCACAGAGTATAGTCGCAAATGCATCTTAGCGTTGTTGGTGTTCAGCAACCTCGGGCCTGGCCTCTACTTCTCCGTGGTCCATCAGCGCGGCACGTTAGACGCGATGACGCTCTTGCGGGACGAGATCTCGCAGGCGAGTCCTTCGCAGCCGACGGACACGCTGATCCTGACCCCGTGCCACGCCACGCCGCTCTACAGCCACTTGCACACGAACGCGTCGGTGAGATTCTTGACTTGCGAGCCGAATCTGAACCATTCCGCGGATTACGTGGACGAAGCGGACCGGTTCTTCGCAGACCCGGCGGCTTGGCTTGACGCTAATTATGTTAACGATAAACTCACCGCGTACGTGTTGGTGTTTGATAACGTTCCGGGCAAGATAGCGGAATTTTTGCGCACGTACAAATTGATCGCCAGGGTATTTCATACGCATTTCCCCGAGTCGAATTATGGAAGATACGTGTTGCTGTACAAACGCGCAACGTTCGAGTAACGCTCCATCGCATCTTCTTAAGACGTACTCTCGAAAGTAAAATCAGTGTTATTCTTCATTGGAGTACTGAGCTACATGAGATTTCGCCGAAAGAATCAATTAATAGTAGCAACCGTTATACCCGTATTAGATCATGGATTGGAAATTAGAACTTGGCCAATTGGAACAAAGCAAACTAAGACCAAAGTTCATCGATTCGTCGAAATGTAATTTTCAATCCGCGATCCTCTATCTCCTGTCCATAGTGTGATACGGGCTTTAAGTCCATATCAGACTGAAGATTGAGAATTATAATCGGATCAATTAGGTAATATCGAATCCTTGATTTTGCTTTACTTGATCGGTCAAATTGTAATCCTTATACTGCAATTGTAGGCAAAATCGTAAAACTCGTAACTTGTTCTCGTAAGACTCATAAGAACTTATGAGTAGATCTGCTATTCTATGCGGATCGTATGTCATATAATAACTCGTAAATATCTACGATTTTTTTTTTGTTTTTTTCGTAAGCTACGACTTTACGGTTTTACGTATATTTACTTAGAATTGCAGCATTAATCTATAATCTGATACGGACTTTACCATTATTGATGCAGTTTAAAAATGCATCAATTAGAATTCTTGAGTGATGACGTCGAAAGCGAAGAAATGCGTGTTCAAAATTTCTCAGCAAAGTATGTTGAAATAAAAAGATACATCTAAAAAATTACCAACAGTCGATTAAGCACACCGCTAAAATACTCCGAATATCTTTCTTCTGCTCTAACAATGAATGAATAACCGTAAAATTAACGTGACATGCAACTTTCCTTCTTAGCCTACATTTCCGCGTTACTTTGTCACGTTAACCTTACGGTTATTTATCGATTGCAGAGCAAAAGAGCAAAAGAGAAGTGCTCGGAATGTCTTAGGTCCATATTAATAGTCATTATTTGAAACTTGACTTACGTGAGACACTTAGATATGAATTTGGAGTTGTATTTGAGTTTTTTTTACTTCAATCGCACAATATATACGACATTATAATTTGAATCGCGATTCAGCCGAAATATTCGTATCCAACTCCAAATTCAAGTCTGAGTATCTCACTAAAGCAAATTTCAAGCAACGACTATTAGTATGGACCTTAGAAATGTGCTTAAGCGATTGCAAGTGTTATTTTTCAGATATATCTTTTATTTCGACGTATTTTGCAGGAACTTTGAGTACACATTTTCTCGCTTCTGACATTACTAATCAAGATGACTGCCAGGCCAGGGGCCAGGAGTCTTAAGACAAACTTAGATATAAGATCCGGCTACGAATACCGACTATAGAGTAAGGTCTCAGCTATAAAATAGTAGGGCACTGAAGTCTGATTATGCAAATTCGCTATTTTGAAATTTTCTCGGATCCTTTGTGAAAGTTGACGTGCGACCGAATATTGCGGATATTACAAGCCTAACATTGTACGCGAAGGATTAAACGAGTAAAGTGCTTCGTCACGTGGATATGGCAAGATAAATGGAGATTGTATACAGTGAGAAGAAATTTAAGTTTGGTAATAAAGAAATATACATGTGTCTTTCTTGTCTCTTCTCATGTCATGTCATGTCTTGTCTCATGTCATTTATCTCAAAATTCTCTCTTAATGCTCTTTGACTTTTCTTTACAGTATTATTTACTGACTTGACTGTGTGAGAGAAAGAGACAACATTTCCTGCGTTCCACAATTGTCTCCTTTTTTACACGGTTAGGGGAGAAGACCTCAATTTCTTGCAATTTCTCAAGGAAATTAAGTTCGCCGCCGTGTGATGATAGAAGGAATGCGACGTTCTCCCGCTATCGATGACAAAAAGCCGCACCTCCGACTCGCTCGGTCATTAATAACGATTAGGTGATTATCGTGAAACAGTCATAAAGCGGAGGATCCCTCGCGCTAAAAACGACCCAGAGAGGAAGGGGGAGGACAGCCCTCTCCAGCTTGAAATAAATGAGTACCGTTAGTAAGTAGGATTCGAATCCCAGACTCGATGCGGGAACGATAACGATTCTAACGGTACTTGTAACTCTGCACTAGAGACGTGCCGAGACGCAGTCATCGCCGAAATTACCGTAGGATACCTTTCGTCGACGGTATTTTTTCAGGACGCCTGGCTCGCCGCGAAACTCTTGATTGATAACGTCAGAAGCATGCCCAAAATTTCTATATGCAAGATATGTCGAAATAAAAAAAATATATTCAAAAAATGATGCAATCGATTAAGCACACCTCTAAAATACTCTGAACACCTTACCTTTTACCCTAACAATCGATAAATAATTACAAAATTAACATGTAACCTTCCTTTTTAACCCACCTACTGTTTCTCATAATTTTACCACGTTTATTGTCGCGGCTGCTTATTGATTAAGAAGAATAGTTTTTGAAACACTTTACAAATATATTCAAGTGACCTCAAATCAAGAAGACAAATATTTTTGTATTTGGAATTGGCACGCGCAAGAATTTTCAGCATGTCATTTCTCGCTTCTGACGTCACAGTGACCAACATGGCCGTGGCGAGTGTCCAAGAGCCCGTGAGATTACGTATACAATTACGACTGCGCTAAGAAGTGACGGCTGTCGAACACGTCGAAGTCATTGCTATTGTACGATTCAACGATATTTGCGTGCGTCTCGAGTTATAATAGCAAGTGTTACGTAATACTAGATGCTTTTTAATGCTAATACAGGAAACGATACAGCCCCAAGACGAGAAAAGCATCTCGAATTTGGACACATATTTAAAATGTTGAAATGTCAAGGATGCTTCATTCTTACACGCCGAGCATTACGTCTTATAGCCGGAGCGAAGTCGAGCGACAAACAGATTGGAATCGACAATGACATCATGCTCCACGTTTCCGCCGTGATCCCTCCTGTCGAGACCGGGCGGGAACGGGGAACTGGGAAATGGGAAAAGCGTGCGCGCGCGCAAAATAACGGTGCGGAGGTAAAACAGAAAGTAGATAACAGTCGGAAAAAATCGTGAAAAATGGGAAGGACGGTGCGCCGGCGGGGTCGCACGCGGCCGGGAAGCGCGCAATCGCGGCGGCAACGCATGGGCGACGCGAGGAGGCGAGACGTGACGCGCGGCAAGTCGTGGTGGTAAGGTAAGGTAACTCCGCGGTAACTCCGTAATCGAAGGTATACGGCAAGAAGACGGCCGGTAAACGGAGAATGGAAGAAAATATAAAGGGGGGACTGACTACATGGAGTCAACGTTCCGGGCGGGTCAGCGACCACAATGTGTTCGCTCACTCGCTCACTCGCTCTCTTCTCTCTCTCTTTCTCTCTCTTTTATTTTCTCTCTTGCTCTCTCGCCTTCTCTCTTCTTCGCTCACTCGCTCTCACCTGATCGCGGACCTCTTCTCCCTTCCGTCTTCGTCGAGAGCCGCTTCCTTGCGGCGCCGCGTTGCTACTCGGCCGAGCGCGCGCGATATCCGTGAAACTGCGCTTTGCGCGCACGAGGAGGCCCATGGACTTCCCCTCGACTTCCTCATGGCTCGCTCGTGGTGCGCCAATTAGGATCAGGCTGTTAGCGGCGTTCCTGCAAGGGCCAAGGACGCGGCCGAATAATTCGATCCACGTGTAATTTATTCTGGTGGTATTTTAGACTCGGCCCGGCTCGACTCAACGTTGCGGATTACGACAGCTCCTGTCGAATTTTTCACGTGCGCTTTCAATGTAAATCTTCATAAATTATCATCGGCCCGCCCCGGCGGATCAGCGCCATGGCACGAGGGTTAATCCGCACCGCGCGTAATAATCCGAAATAACGTACCGGGGGTCCGCGAAAGACCTGTCGCGCAGCGTTTCGAAAGTTACATAGGCAGACACGTGTATGAGCGTGTACAGCCGTTCGAGAGAAAGTTCCCCGCAACGGTGAATCCGCTCTCCATCCTCTTACCGTGTGCGCGCGCGAGAGCATCCAAAGTGGATCGACCTCATCGCCGGAATCGCGAGGAATCCCTTTGATAATTTCCTTAACGTCCTCCGGTCTCATCGCGAATTGCTACATCGCAGCTTCGCCGATTAAAATTCCACGGTTTGCGAGCAGTCCTCGTTTATATCCTGCTTCTGGAAAGACAAAGATAGACAATGACGAAACAATAATAATTATCGGTTCGCGAATAATTATTATTATTGCACAGAGACCATGAATTCATTATTATACTATGGGAGAGCCATTAATTATAGATTCGATTAGCGTTAAATCAATCGGTCCTTGAAATCTCGCGATCTCCAGTCGAGAAGAATTAATTCGCAGCCACTACATTCCAATCAATATGCACAGGCCGTTGTTCCCAACGGTTCCGAACGTGGTTTCTGATCGGCTGAGGGAACCCGGAGGACGAGCTTAATTTTATCGGAAAAAAATTACTCATTAGCCCGCGCATTCCGCAATGACGTCCCGACGAGAAACTTCCGTTTTGTTACGTAAATCGACTGTGCTCGCGTCAAGCTCCACTAATGTGGAGAAAGAAAAAAGAATTGCTTTAATGAGGGTCGACGCGATCCGTTAAAACACGAATACGAGAATTTAAAGCGGTAAAGCTAAAACGTAATAATGCGATATATCCATACAGAGGACGAGCGAGCGCAGTATTGACGGTACAGAGTCCGATATCGTAAACCGGCTCTCCTCGACGATATACCGGAATCCAGGTAGACTTTGCTCTCGGAGGTCTTAACGCGTTTAACTACCATTATGTACCTCCGTTCCACGTTCCTTTGGAATATACTAAAGCGCACCTGAGAGCAATGAGTCCCAATTATTCATTTAAAACGAGTCTGGAGCAGCTTCTTTTTTCCTCTCTCGACTTGGCCGATGTTGGAAGAATGTGTGATCTTGTCAAGTTGAATTTCTGAAAACAAAAATAAGTTCAAAACAAGGGCTCCGTCCATGAGTTCTCTCTTTTCATGCAAATTGAGAATTTCTAGTCTCCAGGGACCTTGAAAGCTCCGGACACACGCCTTTTTCAACATTGAACGATCGATCATTCACGAGTTTATATAACGAGGCAAGAAATACTTGAGAAATAAGCGATTTATTACGCAACGAGTAATATATAACATATTTATTTATAATAATATAAAATATTTATAATAATATATTATTATATAATATATTATATAATTATATAATATATTATATAATTATATGTTATATTATTTATAAAATATTTATAAAATATTTTTAATATTATAATATTTATAATATTTATAATTTTTAATATTTATAAATATTTATAAAATATTTATTTATAATAATTATTTGTAATAATATAAAATATTTTTCAAATTAAAAGATATATACATTCTTAAAGCTTTTCATGAAAGCAACTGTTTATTCTATTTAAATAAAATATCTTTTTAAGAAAATAGATTTTTAAGAAAAACGAATGTGTTATTAGCGTCCACAGAAATAAATAAATAATTCACTTTTTACATATCTTTTCTCTCAATACACGATCGCAGATAACGAATCGTCCTGAGATCACCCTCGATGTGCTCGAGACGTCCTAAGATATTCCTCAGGACATCCTGGATACACTCTACATTCTTTTGGGGCATCATGTGCTATCTGGGATCTCTCTGCGATTTCGTCGCGATAGCGGAGAAACATCGACACAACCCAAACAACATTACAATGTCATAGGCTATATTTCTCCGATAATTACTAAAATAGTGCGCTTTTTTGTAGTTTGTATTCTCAAAGATAATCGATATCTGCAGTAGTTTGTGTGCGTGCACTCAGGTGTTAAAACGTACTATTTAGCGATCATTAGAGAAAGTACAGCTCATGACCATCTTTCCCGTATGGTCATCATACCCGAGTTCACCTTACCTATAATCAAAGCAAAGCAGCGTCACGCTAAATTCCCGTTCCCATCGGGATGAGTGGACACTGGGCTCGTCTCAGCGCCTCGCGTCGGCATAGAGAGTCACCGAAGAGCAGAGTCACGCGCGATTATTCGCTGATGGGCGATCTCACGGCGCTGAGAATCGCTCGTGCGATTCTCGCACGGCCAATATCTTGCGTGAGGACGCCTCTCCGGCGACGTAACAGCTCCCGGCCGTCATCGCGAACCTGGTTCATCATCGCGGTAGACCCGCGCCGGCGCGACGCGGGAACAGCGATGCACTTGCCTTCCTTCCCCTAGCGGCTGATGCGGGCCGCCAGTTCCGACCAATCGCGGCCGGCAGGCAACAGGTGGCTGGCCAATCCCGACGCCGCGTCGACGCGACACCGTTGATCTTACTTACAACTAAGCACTCCACTCCCTCGGGTGTTCTTACCAAATCTTACGCTCGGGTATCCTACCCAAATCTGCAGTAATTATATTCGAATCTTATCCCTTTCAGTCCCAAGAGTGAAATTTTGAATTTATTTATATTATTAGGGCATTTCTATGACTTAGAATATATACAAAATTAAAAAATATATGCAAAAAATTTTTTTAAAAATTTGTCATTTTCAAAAAACAAAACAAGATTTGCAAGATTTGCAACTACTTGAAGCTCCGTAATGGAGAATAGAACATCCACAATCGTATGGTGTCTGAATCATTTAACGAGAGCGGGGAAAAAGATAGAGCGGCAAAACCTGACCCACACAATTGTGGATATAGGGACTGAAAAGGTTATTCGTTTCTCTCTTCCTCTCTCCCCCCTCTCTCTCTCTCTTTACATTAAGACCTAGTCAACTTACAGAGTACTTAGAAGTAAGGAAATATTTGCATAAAGTTCATTTTTGTTAAGATTCTCTCAAGCGTTTTTCTAGATACAATCTGCGTTGAGCAAATCGAAATAGTAGTATTTAGTCATGGACTCTTGTCATATAGTGCAACTACATGTCGCGCGCGTGTGTCAAAATTTTACAAAAATTAGACTACCCTGGTAAAAAGAGTTGATAGAGAACGATTGAGAACGATAGATTAATTTGTATTGTTTTCTATAAGCTCTATCGTTCGCAAGCGTCAGCATTCGCGAGAATCAGATATAAATCCTATCGTATTTTATTTGGTTCTATAAGAATCGGGTTCAATTTGTATTATATAGGAAACTGACGATAGAAATTCTATCACTATTTATTGTTTTCTATTGTATACGATAGAATACTATTCACATTTGTGAATTCACGAACCAAAATTCATATTCAAAACGATAGAATTTTATTCTATCGTTCTTTATAAACCTTTTTTACCATGGTAAATTTAATAGGCTCTTGTCTTTCCATCTTATTTTACATTGCAATGTTTTTATAAATTCTAAGGAGTAACCATCTCAGGGAGAGGAAAACTATATTCTATTCTACTTTTTTACTTTCTCTCTCTCTCTCTCGCTCCTTCCCTCACGGCGAATAACAAGTGCGACGATACAATCACCGATTCGACGCGTATAAAAATCGATCAGAAATACCGGATAGAATCAATTTACGCGATTTGCGTTGCAATAAATCGACACTTACCACTTTCATCGACATTTTCCGCACTTTCTCCCATAATTATAGCGATGTTTTTAGCAGCGTTTCCCGCAGGTCGATTTCCTCCAGGTGCTCCGCGATGGAAAGTATCGAATCGTGATTTCCGCGATTTCCGGCAGGAATCTCAATCTTCGTGAGAGATAATTCCAGCCAAATATCGCGATCCGCTATCTCGAATCGAGTTCATGCGAGCGCCACCCTTCCGCGCTGCGATCAGTGGCGCGCGTCACAGCGAATGAACGCTCCGCCATCCAAGAGAAAAGCAACAACAAGAACGGACGTCGAACGGAACCGCCTGTCCGTTCGTCCGTCCGAGCGGCAAGGCCGCGATCGCGATTACGCCAAGGAGCCGGAGTATCGGGCACATCGACATCGTCGGTACGTTGCACGTGTCGTCGTCGCGCATACCTCACGTACCTGCGACGTCACTTCGAAAGCGGTCACATGGGCGCGCTCTATTTCCACTTCACTTTGGAGCACTTATTGACAGGTGTAGAGTTTCTCAAATAAGGGTTAGGATACCGCCCGCCATTTATGGGGAAGAAGTGTGTATATGAGAGAGAGAGAGAGGCATGTTTCATCATTTCAATTAAAGACCCGGTTGTGTTGAGCGAATAGTAAGCTGGCAGTTAAATCATGTATGTCTTTGTTTTTCTTTCAAAATAAACAAAGACAGATATACATGATTGAAGTGTCAGTTAACTTACCACTCGATTGATGCAAGCAGGCAGTTACTCCATTTAAAACGATAGCTATGATATCATTACATAAGATTTAGTCTGAATTTCAATCTGAATCTCTCTCAACACGAATCAATAGAATAATGATTAATTTACAATGAAATTGAAATTCAGACTGTACGTAACATAATATTATCGTTTTGTATTTATTATTTTGAACATGGTAAAGGAGCTTCTCTCTCACCATTCTATTAGAGTTTCTTCTTCCTGTTCGCTCCTTCTCTGTCAGTGGTGGATAAGATCCGACCATCACGCAGGAGTCATCACGCAGCGTTTCAGATCTTACTTAAGGAACTCTAGACAGGTGATTTACACAGGCGTGCTTTCAGCGGAGGACACGCCATTCTCCGCGTATCCGGCGGAATCGCGCCGGATATCGGCGGAGGGAGATCCACGGCGCGGCATCGTGAGCGGCGCCAACGCACGTAGACAGCGTCGAGACGGGGAACGCGTCGCGCGCGCCACGATGTGTTCTCCATTGAGCGCGCGCGCATTCGGCGGCCGCCATCTGCGTGCAAATGTGGCGGCGTTCAGGTTTCGCCACCGGTGCGATGTATCTCGCGTACACAGTCTCTTCTAAGAGGCTCCCCCAAGTATCTCCAGGTAAACGCGGTAACGCGTGGCCACGGCCAGCAGCAGCCGGCGGGCTCGCTCGAGAGCGGCGCGAGTGGAGGGTCTGTACACCTGGCGCGTCGCTTTGACCTGCCTTTCCCTTCGCCGCTCTAATCTAGCCCGGCCGGGATTTCCGTCACTCTCGCCGCATCTGGCCCCCGACTCCGGCAACCACAGTCCTGGGTAATAATCAACCATGCCGATATGGCGAAATCACTCGTGTGCCTTTACGTTTTTCGCACTTTTCTCGTTGATACCTCGCGCCTTGCTTCTTCCTTCCTCTATCTCTTTTTCTTTCTCTCTCTTTTTCTCTCCCTCCATTTCTCTCTCTCTCTCTCTTTCTCTTTCTTTTCCGCACTATTCCGCTCTTGCTCACCCGGCCTGTATTAATTTCCCTCTCCTTTCATTCCAGATAAGCAGGAAGATAGTTGGAGCTCCTTTCTCCGTTTCTCAAATCTCCGTGGTTTTTTATTCCAATTTCAACTGCGTTTTCACGAGTAGCAGTTCCGCTATGTCGGCGATTCAAAGTTCGTCGTGAACGTACCGAGCGTCTTTAGGTAGATCGATGTATCGCGATACAAATGCATGCGCATTCACACATATGCACATACACACGTACGCGACACCTGTCGCTTCGCGTTCTCTGCTATCTTCATTTTACAATTCTTTCTTGTGACAGCTACCATTGCGAAGTGTTTTGTATTACGTCTTTATGTATTTCCGTCAAAGTTACGGCGTTGTTGCGCGAAAAATGAAATTCTACTGCTAGATGTTAATCTGTTTTTGTTGCTTCCTCGGTAAGCATAGTTCTACAGCGCGCAACAGGTATGCTTTTTCGTTCTCCCTCTCTTACGTAGCTCACGTCCTACGTAACTATTGAATATTTAATATCTCCGCGCGTATCTAATGACATGCTATTGACGTAAATTTAAAACCTGCTCGATATTTACTATCCTTTTTTACTTTTTATTACTTTTTTGCTATTCATCCGACACAAGACCTTCGTACAGCACGCAACAAATATTCCCTTCTACCTCTCTCTCTCTCTCTCTCTTTTGTTGCTTTCACTTCTAGTATCTAATATCCTATGTTACTCTTTGATATCCCCTAACGCAATACGCGTCTAACTCGTCATTAATACGGATCGAAATTCCGCGGATATTAATTTGTTTTTACCATTTGCCGAACAAGAACCATTCCGCAACGCGTTTCCTTCTCTCTCTCTCACTCCCACTCTGCATCTCCCCTTCCTGTCTCTCTCTCTGTTTCCCTCTCTCCATCCCCCATAAGACGCCGTGCGAGCAAGGACCAGCCAACGGGAGAGGGGCAACGTCGACGCGCAGTCGCCAGGTGAGGCAACGACGACGACGTGTTCGCTTCGCGACGCTCGGCCGGGGGGACGCACGGCCAGTGCTGCACGAAACACCTTGCGACGTTCGACGGCGCTCCGTCCGACCGTGAGCGAACGTGTCCAACCGACAAGTAAAAAGAGACAGAGATAGGTAGAGAGAGAAAGAGAGAAGGAGAGGAACGGGGAGAAGGCGACCAGTCTCAAGACCGGGAATCGATCCTGTCCGCGGACTCCGGTTTCGCGGAGCGGTCGTGTCCGCGAAGGTGTTGTTATCTCGGTCGGAGCACTGCCGTCGATTCATAACCTCAAACCGCCGTGCCCCGACCACTGTGATCGCAGAAGGAAGCATGTCGCGTCTCGCGGATAATCGGTGAACAGTCAGTGACGAACGGGGGATCGAGAGACAGAAAGGGAGGTAGACGCTACGAAAATCGGTCAGTCCTTCGTTCGTTTACAAATTCTCGACGCCGGGCGCGGCGAGACATTGTCGCGAGTGTGAAAGTGCATCACCGTGCCCCGTGGAAGACGTTCATCGCGCAGAGATACACAACAGAAAAAGGAGATTCATCGTTGAGGAACTCCTGGTTCATACGGGAACGATGCAAACGACGGGAATGAGGACGGCGGGGGGAGGAGGAGGAGGAGGAGGAGGCTCGTCGACCCACCTGGTCGTCCTTTACGTGGCGACCGCTGGCCTCCAGGGGAACGCGCTCGGCTCCGACGAGGAGGAGATCACGTTACTCGTCTATGTACTCATCGATGTGCTGCAGAATAAGGTAAGAAGGTGGTGGACAGAGAGAGAGAGAGAGAGAGAGAGAGAGAGAGAGAGAGAGAGAGAGAGAGAGAGAGAGAGAGAGAGAGAGAGAGAG